AAGAAGAACAAAGTTGGAGGAATCACGCTACCTCATATCAAACTGTACTAAAAAGCCACGGTAATAAAACAGCCTGATACTGGCATAAAAACAGACACATAGATCAATGGAACAGAATAGAGAACCCAGAAATAAACCCACACCATCATAGTCAATTACTATTCAACAGAGGAAGCAAGTACATATAATGGCGTTAAAGACAGTTTATTCAATAAATGATGTTGGGAAAATACATGCTGAAAAATGAAACAAGACCACCTTCATACAGTACATACAAGAATAAAGTCAAAATGGATTAAAGACTTAAATGTTAGACCCGAAACCATAAAAACCCTAGAAGAAGATATAGACAGCAAAATCTCAGACATAGCTTGTAGCAATATTTTATCAGATATATGTCATCAGGCAAGGGAAACAAAAGAAAAAATAAAACAAATGGAACTACATCAAACTAAAGTTTTTGCACGGCAAAGTAAAACATCAACAAAATAAAAAGACAACTCATGGAATGGAAGAACATATTCATCGATACATCTGATAAGGGGTTAATATACAAAATTTATTAAGAACTTACAAAACTCAACACCAAAAAGACAACCCAATTAAAAAATGGACAAAGGAGCCCTGGTTGTGGGGCTCGATGGTTGAGTGCCGGACTGTGAATCGAAGTGTCACCAATTCAATTCCCAGTCAGGGCACATGCCTGGGTTGTGGGCTGGGTCCCCATTAGGGGGTGCGTGAGAGGCAACCACACACTGATATTTTTTTCTTCCCTTTCTCCCTCCTTTTCCTCTGTAAAAAATAAATAAAATCTTTTAAAAAACAGATGAAAGAGTTAAATAGATACTTTTCCAAAGATGACATACAGATGGCCAACAGACATTTGAAAAGATGTTCAATGTCACTAATTATCAAAAATATGCTCATTAAAACAATGAGATACCATCTCACACCTGTCAGAATGGCTATCATCAATAAATCAACAAATAAGGGCTGGTGAGGATGTGGAGAAGGGGTATCCTTTTGCACTATTGGTGGGAATGCAGAGTGGTACAGCCACTGTGGAAGCAGTAGGGAGATACCTCAGAAAATGAAAAACGGATCTGCCCTTTAACTCAGCAATCCCACTTCTGGGAATGTATCTGAAGGAACCCCCCAAAATAATTAAAAAATCCATAAGCATCCCTATGTTCATTGCAGCATTATTTACAATCGCCAAGATACAGAAGCAGACTTCCACCAAGATGGAGGCATAGGTGGGGACGCCGTGCTTTCTCACACAACCAAGTTTAGAGACAACTAAATATTAGCAACAGAAAACACAGCCAGAACACAGAAAATTGAACTTTTAGGAAGTCTGATAACAACAAATTCTTCAGCCTGACTGGTAAGAGGGGCGAAACCAGCAGCTGACAAAGCGGGGTAGCACAGAAAAACTCAATCAGACGGACTCAGGCGCACGGAATCCAGGCGCAGGGTTGGACCTAGTGAGAGACCCAGCAAGCGACCTTGGGGAAACAGCGAGGGAGCAGGGCTGCAGGTTGACTGTGGTCGTGCATTTGTGCGTGGATAGACAAGCGAGGGAGTGGGCGATTGGACGGGACCCAGCGGGTCACTGCGGTGAGTGGCAGCAGAGGGCGTCGCCATTTCCCCGCTCTGACCACGCCCCCACATACAGCGTCACAACCGCCACCTGGGAGTTGAAGGCTCCTGGGAGTCGAAGGCTCCGCTCCTCCTACTTAACGGGCACGAACAGACCAAAAATGGCTCAAGAAGATCTCAAAGCCCCAGAGCCTATAAATCTAAGCGATGAAGAAATAGCAAAACTCTCAGACGCACAGTTTAAAACACTGGTGATCAGGATCCTCACAGAACTGGTTGATTAGAGCCACAAATTAGAGAAACATATGAAGGCGAAACTAATTGAAATGAATGGAATTGCACAGGAAACCAATAGCAATGAAAAGGAAACTGGGACTCAAATCAATGGAGTGGGCCAGAAGAAAGCAAATAATGGCCAAACAGAAAAGAGTGAAGAAGCAAGAATTCAAAGAAATGAAGAGTCTTAGGAACCTCCAGGACATCTTTAAACGCTCCAACATCTGAATTATAGGGGTGCCAGAAGGGGGAAAGGCACAGCCACCAGTGGAAAACTTATTTGAACAAATAATAAAGGAGATCTTCCCCAATCTGGCAAAGGAAATAGACTTCCAGGAAATCCAGGAAGCTCAGAGAGTCCCAAAGATGTTGGACCCAAGAAGGAACACACCAAGGCACATCATCATTACATTGGCCAAGATTAAAATGAAGGAGAGAATCCTAGAAGCAGCAAAGGATAAGGGGACAGTCACCTACAAAGGAGTTCCCATCAGACTGTCAGTGGATTTCTCAAAAGAGACCTTACAGGCCAGAAGGGGCTGGAAAGAAGTATTCCAAGTCATGAAATCCAAAGACCTACAACCAAGATTGCTCTCTCCAGCAAAGCTTTCATTTAGAATGGAAGGACAGATAAAGTGCTTCTCAGATAAGATCAAATTCAAGGAGTTCATCATCACCAAGCCCTTATTATATGAAATGTTAAAGTAACTTACCTAAGAAAAAGAAGGTAAAAAAACATGAACAGTGAAAGGACAGCAAACTCACAATTAACAACCACACCTAAAACAAAAGCAAACTAAAAAGACAGCTAGATCAGGAGTGGAAACATAGAAATGAAGATCTCAAGGAGGGTTAGCAACAGGGGAGTGGGAGGAGGAGAGGGGGGAGAAGATACAGAAAATAAGTAGCATAGACAGTAGATAGAAAATAGAAGGGGGGCAAGAATAGCATGGGAAATATAAAATCCAAAGAACTTGAGACACATGGTCATAAACTAAAGGGGGGGTAATGGGGGGGAGGGGGTGTAGGGTGGAGGGGAATGAGGGGGGAATAGAACAACTGTAATGGCATAATCAATTTAAAAAAAAAGGTAAAAAAAAAAGATATGGAAGCAGCCCAAGTGTCCATCAGTAGATAAGTAAGTAAAAAAAAACTATGGGACATCTGCATGATGGAGTACCACTTGCTGTAAAAAAGTTTTACCCTTTGAGACAGTATGGACAGACGTGTAAAACTTTATGCTAAGTGACATAAGCCTGACAAAGACAAATATCATACAATTTCACTCATGTGGAATAATGAACAAACTGAACAAGCAAAACAGAGACAGATTCATAGATAGATAACAGGATGACAGCTAAGCAAAGGGAGCAGTAGGGAATGGAAGACTGAGTGAAGAAGGACTTATGGACATGGATAACAGTGTGGTGATTTCAGGGTGAGGGGGAGAAGTCCCCCCCTATAGGGGACTAAGTAAATGGTAATGGAAACAAATACAATAAAAATAATTTTTAAGTAAAAGCTTTAAAAAAGAGATAAAATAATCCACAAAAAATGGCCCTCTGGCTTGCAAACTTTTCAATATAAGCATTTCCTACTGACTTTTAAATATTGCTAATTTTTCAGATTCCCTGTAAAATTTAGGATACAAGTAGTGAATTTCATTGAGAATACATGGGATACTCAAGAGTGACAGCAATTGGACAAAGACCAGGAGATAAAATTCAGAGGAGGAATAGGTTGGCCACAAATACTCAATCTAAAAATGAGAATAACAATTCCTGCCTGAAAGGGTGATTATGGATTAACCTTTGAGCCCTAGTCTCTGCTTCTGAAATATTTTTTGTATGTACCTGGGCACTTGAACTGAGTTTCCTCCTCCTGACTCCCAACCTCACGGTAACTTCCCCATTTCTCCTGATACCCTGAGTTCACAGTATTTAACTCTCCATGAGTAGAAGTGGCAGTTCCATTATGTGGTCTCTGCCTGTACCACTGGTTGGTCATCTTCAGTAAACCATGTCCACCTTGTCAAGGCTGTATTGCTCCAAGGGCTGAAGCAAGGTGTCACAGGATCATACAGCTAAGTATGAACATACAGCTAAGACACTAAGTACGAATTAGTGTCTGCCTGAAATTACATACAAGGATTAGTCCTTATTTCTTAATGTCTACTCTAGTAATACTACTAATATTAAAGAAACCTCGAAAATTGTTCCTCTTCCAACTGACCAGTGAGAGTAACCGTTATGCTGGGAAGGAGAAATGAACATGTTTATCAGGTTCTTAGGTCAACCTTTTATATTTTATACATGGAAGGAAAGCTAGCCAGTATTAATACGCCCAGGAAATCTGATTCTTCATCAACTTGCATGAGTGTGCATGCTATTTTTTTACAATGATACCAAATGGGGATTCCCATTAAGAATTAATCTGTAATAGGCTATCCCCAAACATACATTTTTGGGGGCAAGACATCAACTAGTCCCAAGACTTTTATGACTATTTAGTATGTTTCATTGCTTAAGAAAAAATATTACTAGTCACACTGACTGAATGAATTTACAGACAACTGAAAACAGCTCTGCTAGGTGGCCAGAATAATGGAACTGTTTCAGAACAGAAGGAAATGGTACTTTTGTTTCCCTGAAGTTTAAGCTTTTAAAAAAGCATTTGCTAGTGTGGCAGGAATACCCTAAGTTCAGATAGATTCCACTACTCTCTCCAAGTAAAACTGCTAGTAGGAGTGTAAATGAGAAAACCTGTGGGCAACAGTATTTATTAGGAACTTTAGTTTTTTTTTCATCTTTAATATCTTAAAAGTTCTTATCTACTAGGCCCATTTTTAGAAAGGTAGCCTAAGAAAGTAAATACTTAAAGATTTATGTATAATGATGTTTAATGCATTGGATGTATTTTCTAAAACAATGGAAAATTACCCAAACACTTAATTGGGAATTATAAAATAAAATATTCCATCTGCTTGATGGAGTATTACATAGTCAACTGTTTAAAAAAAAGTTATGCTTTCAATAGCTACATAGTGACATACTATGATCCCAATATTGTAAAAAAAAATATGCAGCAGAAAAATAGAAACATTCCATGTAAATAGTGGTAACATCTGGCAATAGAATTTTGAATAATTTTATTTGCTTTTTTATTCTCTCCTATGTTTTCCAAAATTTCTGCAATAAGTACACATTTTTAGAACTGGAAAAAATTTTCTAAAGAAAAACCACCTGTATCACAATAGGTTTATGACTTCTTTGTCTACACAAAGGGAAGAGGCCTGTGGTTGTATGGTCACTCACTGCCCCACGCTCTCTAACAGGTCTCAGGAAGCTGACATGCACACCTCTGGGACATATGTACACTAACTCACTGTTTATAAAATCTTACCAGACATGTATTCTGATACACAATACCGTCCGAGTATCACAAAACACATCACTAAAGTATACTAAAATAAGGTTATTTACTTATAAAATGATACATTGAACGTAATCTATATATAAAACAAAGCAATTAATGGTAAACTTAATAAGGCACCTTTTAAACCAGATGCTGTACAAAATACATTTAAGTGTGTTACATATCAAAGATGAATCTATATTTTCAGTGTTTTACAATTGCATAATAAAACTGCTTAACCCTTCTTTCAATGTCTATGTACAACTCCCCTAAGTGAGCTACAATGGTATTTTCATTTTATACAATATATACTACATTTTAGTTTTTAAATGGGGCAGGACAAGAGTCAGTAAAAGAGCTTAAATAATTCCACTGAAAGCATAGTACAGAGCATGATCTAAAATTACAATAGATTCAATCATTGCAAAAGCAGTATTCACATATTTTCCTTACGGGACGATCATTACATGTGGCTTCTCTCGATGCCCTAGGTTTCATTTGGTCAGCTGTCTGCAGTTTTCACTGTGACTCTGTCAACAGCACTGAGGCAAGAAGATTAACTGTAAATAAAAATCTGATCCAAGCAAATAATAAGTGTTACCCCTTTAGACAGAATGAGGGCTGCAACAATCTTTTTCTAAAAAAAATCAATTAGTATTTTTTCTGTTCAAGACACATTTCAAGTACAACATGTACTTCAAACAAATGAGTTCATTTATAAAATCTTCCCCGGAATAAATGATTTAATATTAAATTTGATCTTGGGCCAACTTAGAAATGCATGGATCTTTTTAAGATTTTATTTATTTATTTTTATAGAGAGGGGAAGGGAAGGAAGAAGAGATCAATGTGAGAGAAAAACATCGATAGCTTGTTTCTTGTATGTGTCCCAACTGGAGACCAAAACTGCAACCCAGGCAACCTGCCCTGACCAGGAATTAAACCAATGACCTTTCACTTTTTGGGGAGCCACACTGGTCAGGGTGAGATGCATGATTCTTTAAAAACTGTACTGCATTTTGTTTTTAACAGAAGCAAAAAATCTGGGGGAAGAAAGGTACTATTTCTTTTTTTGAGTAAATAATAAATCTGGCATATTCTAGGAAAATAATTTCCAAAACCTGTAAGTCACTTTCTAAGTTTAGAAATACTTCTGGATGTTGACAAGGCAACATGATATGTTGATAGAAATATCTTTTGTGAAAACATATCCAGAAAATTAGATACAAGTTTTATAAGAAAACACATGGAGAGCTTAAAATAAATACATTGAAGCCAAATCTAATGTGGCTTTAATTGTAGAGATATTTATCAGCAGAATTTTCTTTGAGGATTAACTTTTATTATATTCTAGTACCTGGTATTTTATTTTTGTTTTAATTATTTAAAGGGACGACAGACAGAAGCCACAGTTTCAAAATGCTGTATTGTGAAATCAAATAATGGTTTCTAGGATTTTACAAATTTATTAATTATGCTATCACATACTTCCTTCTTTAAATATCTCACTGGATGAACTTAGAAATTTAAGAGTAAAAGTAAGAAGGACAGAAGAAAAGTTTCATGCAACAGTTTTTTAAACTTTAGAATTTCAAATATGTCATCATCTGCTTTCTTAAAAACATGTTGTCAGAAAATATATTGAACAAGTCTCTAACATTAATTCTTGATATCAATTTTAATAGATCAATTTGATTTAAAAAATCATTACGAAGGTCTTGTACTTACTACCTGTAATGTTTTGCTTTCACATACTATTTCAACATTTTCTAAGGAGAGCGCTTGCCTTTTCTAATTTTCTTTATTATTAAGATGACAAATAACTCTGAGGATTTATAGTTTATCAAGTAAAAAATAAATCAAGGTTAACCTTAACCTCAGCCTAAGTAGATCTGAGCTGCTAAAGTGTTCTTAAGTCACACAGCAATTTGATTAAAGTATCTATAAATCTCACTATATGAGATTGAGAAAATACTCTGAAAGAGCAAATTACTGGGTACTAACAATACATAAATTTACTTATCTTAATGCATGTTCCAAACTTAGATGAAAATTGTTAAATTTTGTCAAAATTGTAAAGCAAGTTTTTAATTCGTGAAGTTTGATATACAGACAAATATATTAGAGTTTCATCCTTTAGTGCCAAATTTTTGGTAATGAATAGATTCATGCTCTAATCCCCCCCTTTAAAATGTTTTGACCATATTACGACACATCCACATTTATTTTATGCTATTTTCAAACAAAACTGTCTCACTTTCTGCACCCACGAGTTGTTCTTTCAGAATAAGACATTAGTATTTAAAAGGCATTACAGAAGTATAAAAAGTTTAAGTAAATCAGAATTATTCCTTTGAATACAACAAGACATCCGTAACATATGTAGCATTTTCTTGAAAAACAACAATATGGGATAAGTATAGGTGCTGACTAGATACTAACTGTTCTCTGTCTTTATAAGTTATGGAACAGGAATCATGAACCCAAAATTTCAAATGACTTAAATGTCTCTAACAGTTGTTGACAACTTTTTACCAGTTCTGAAAGAGAAATATCTAATTAGAGGATCCTATCATAAAGAAAAATTGAGATGACAGTATCTTAATGAAACTCTGTGCCTGAAGTTAACAAACTCTTAGGCTTGATATACTATTTTGAATGTATTAGTTCTAAAAATGCGTATGTAGTTCTACTTCATAACATTTTCTTCTGATGATCTTTTATTTTTTCCCCTTCAAGGATGAGTGTGAGGTCCACATGAGCTCGTTTCTACAGTATGAATGTATGTACATATATAATGTATGGCTGTAAAAGGAGCAGGTGTTTTGCAAATAAAGCATATTACACACAAAATATAAATAACTTCCCTTTTAAAAGTTACTGAGAATAAAGAATACAGAACATGGGTATAGGCACTTAACATTGCTATGAAATGCAGTAATTAGCAATTCACTTCAATAAGAAGTGTTTTCTTTACAAGCTTCATGGCATTGAAGTTCCAACTCAGGATAGGATGCTATGACAAAAATAATAATTCAAAAAAAAAAAAGGAAAAGAAAGACAAAAGAAAAGATGTTGGTAGGAGAAAAACAGTTGAAATTTCCAGGCACTTTAAACTTTTGGCCTTTGTATCAACTTTTATGTTAAAAACAAAATTAGTGGAGAAGCTAGCTCACTATCAAGGTAAATGGCTTTTTATGTGATTGGCGAATCTTGGTCAGGTCATGCATTTTTAAAGCACAAAACCAACAGCCACTAATATCTTCCTGTGTATTCATAAATTACATTTCCTTCTGATTCAAATGGCAGCAGAGAAATTCTGGTGTACGCATGTGTACATACACACCATTATCAAGGCATGACAAACTATCAAAGCAGTATCCCAAACAGATTATGATCCATAGGCTGTTTACAAAGGTAAAATACAAACAGATTAAATTTTCTCAGGTAGAAGGCAAGTGTATTATTTCTCCATCTCTGCTGAATTCATTTATCTTCTTCAGGCTTTCACAGAAAGCACCATTTATGAACAGGTAATTCAGTACCCAGAGTTTGACTGAAGGGAGACATTAATCAGGATTGAAGTCTTGATGCAGTTCATAAAAACCCAATTTAAAAAAGGCATCAAAAACCACATTTAAAGTATAGCTGTCCATATATAAAGAATAAAGTTTTTAGAAGTTCCCAGCTTATATTCTACAGAGTACTGAAAGGTTTAATATTAGCAGCCTGTGAAGGTGTAGTGAGGAAAGAGTCTGAGAACCAAGTTAACCTCCTTATTTCTACTCTAATTCCACCCATTCCTTGGGTGAAAACAGTTCTTGTGGTCTAGAATTTCTCCTCATGATCACTTAACTGTCAAATCTTTACATCTTGGGATTCAACCATCTTGGCAAGTGTCTTCTTGATTCTCAGAGCTGTAAGTCTGGAGGCTGGATTGTGGGCCCAGCATTCTGACATTAGCTTCAAAACTGCTCGTAGACACTGAAAAGTAAACAGAATGTTGTGAGCAGGTAAATATCTTTGGCAACACTCACCAATCACTTCCTCAGAGGACTAAGTTCCACTTACTTCATCACTGTTCCATCGATTAGACACAACTGGCCGCAAACGTTTGACACATACAACCTCACGCATATCTTCATATGATGGATCACTGGGGACCATGTTGTAATATGGTAATTGGTACTCTTCTACTATCCCTGTAGGGAGAAAACATAGTGAGCACAAAAATGGTGGCTGGACAAAATATATCAATCTATTCAGCATCTCTTACTAAACATGGAACTAAAATTGATTCCTATATAAAAGTTATAAAGTAGATGGTTCACTTTTAATAGTAAATGTACATTGTTCTCTTTTTTTTTATGTCTAATTATTACCCCTACGTCTATCAGGATCCCCACCACAGCTGAGGACATACCAATACCCCCCCCAAAGAAAAAGCAGCAATATGAAACACTCACCCTAAATTTTAATTATTTATTTACATAATTGTTTCTACTAATAAATGCAGTAGAAAGACAGCATGGTATGTCAAAAAGAGAAAACAGAGCAAGCCTGAGATTGTTACCCTTAAAAAGGCCTGCTTGCAAGGCTGGTCTTTGGGAACTTGCCTGCTAAATAGCTCCCTATGCTGAAGTAAAGCTTTCCCTACATAACAATGGCTCACTGTGCCTAGACTATTTGTGCAAACAATATGCTTTGTGCTGAACACCTTCCTTCTAAGAGTTTGGAATTCTAGTATGTGGGCAGAGGGTGCCCGCATGACCAGCCTCCAATAAAATCTTTGAGAACCGAGTCTCTAGTAACTTCCCTGTATGACAACATTTCACACATTGTCACATGTTGGAGGAATTAAGTGCATTCTGTGAGACTTCACTGAAAGAGGACTTTGGAAGCTTGTATGTGATTTCCTTTGAAATCTTTTCAAAGGAAAAGATTTTTCTCCCTGTGATTTTGCTTTGTATTTTTTCAATGTAATAATTTTTAGCTGTGAAGACAACTATATGCTGAGTCCTGTGAGTCCTACTGAAATCACAGAACCTGGAGTGGTTTAGCGCAGTGGTCCCCAGTCTTTTTGGCACCAGGCACTTGTTTCATGGAAGACAATTTTTCTAAGGATGGGGGTGGGGGAGCAGAGCTCAGGCTCTCATCAGCCCCTCACCTCCTGCTGTGGATGAGGGTGTGGTGGTGGTGGCGGGGGTAGCTCAGGCCAGTGAAGCTTCAATCGCAGCCTAGTTCCTAACAGCCTGGTCTGCAGCCCATGGGGTTTGGGACCCCTTGTCTAGGGGATACTTGGTATCAAAATTATATAATAGGAGCTACTATTTTCTGAAAGATGAGGATACAGACATAACCAGAAACATACTCCGTAAACTCTTACCTCCTGTGATACAACGACGGGCCATTTCCCAAATGATTAGGCCAAAGCTGTAGATGTCTGCCATTATGTATGGCTGAAAATGGTTTTTATTCAGGCTTTCATCCAGCACTTCGGGAGCCATGTACCGTTTGGTACCCACCCTGGTATTCAAGGGGACGTCAACTTCATTTGTGTCGCTGAAACCGAAGACAGACAATGTCCAGGTTGACGGTTAAGAACAAAATAGTTTTTCTCCCATTTTTGTAAAAGTCAGTCTCTCTCTCTCTACATACACACACAAATAATAGAAATAAATTACCTACAATCTCCACATTCTTTTAACAGAAATCATTGGAGCCAGGTGTATTTTAAACTTAACATCTTTCAGATTAAATTTCCCCAGCAGAGTCTAGCGTAGTACTCTTTTTCTTCCAAAAGATTTTATTTATTTTCAGAGAGAAGGGAAGGGAGGGAGATGGAGAGGGAAAGAAACATCAATGTGTGGTTGCCTCTCACACAACCTCCACTGCAGACCTGGTCCCACAACCCAGGCATGTGCCCTGGCTGGGGAATCAAACCAGCAGCCCTCTGGTTCGCAGGTCAGCACTCAATCCACTGAGCCACACCAGCCAGGGGTAGAGTAGTACTCTTAATCAAAGTTACTACTATGTCTGCATTCAAAACTAAGTACAAATATTTATATCAAGTTGGTTAAAGACAACAGCTAACTTGCAAGGGTCCAGGTCAGGTTTTGTCACCAAATATGGTGTCTCACAAAGAAAAAAGACAGTACTGAATATAAAAAAAACATGGTAGGTAATTATGTCCCAGAACAAGTGAATGTGAAAATAAACTGAAAGAATTACTTGCTTTGCCATTCTCATGTGATATATTTAATAGGATTACATTTCCTTCTCTATGGGTCCAACAAACTTAGTTCATTGTAAGTAATGTTTACATAATCATACTGACAGTTAGTAATGAATTATGTTTATAGGGTTTTCAATTGATGGAGTAAATTTTAGGGTTAGAAGACAAAAATGCTTTTGCTGCTTGGGTCCCTCAGTCTGGCAGGTTCCAGAAACTACTCTGAAGCACAGATTAATATACTTTATATTTTATTATATGGCATCTGATGAATATTTGAACCAATTAACAATGTACTGATTAAAACAAACAAGCAAACAAGATAAGAATACTCTAACAACCAAGGAAGAAGATTTAATTTTCAGATGTTTGTTTTATTATGGACTAGTACTTTCATCTTATGGCTTGAAATTCTGAAATGTGAAATGGCTGCTGTATTTTAGAGTTATAGCAACTTTAAAATGGCTGCTATACTTTCTAAACAAAGTATAATTCTAATTGTTTAAAACTAGTAACAAGGTATCAAGTGGTGATGGAGAAATGACATTTATATCATGGGAGTGTAACTGATGCATGCTCTCTAAAGGGATAATTTGCAATATACCTCGATTATTATGTACATACCCTTTTCCTACTCTAAGGAATCCATCATAAAGAAGTACTTGAGTACATGATCAATGATAAATATATATTGATAAAATACAATGTTCATTAAAGCATTTAAAAAAAAAATAGAGATAAACCATAGGCAACTTTAATGCCAATGAATTGGGTCATGAAATAAGTTACAGTACATCTATATTTTGGAAAACAGCATAAACACTATTAAAAAGAATGAAGTAGAGCTACATAAACTGAAACAGAAGGATGTCTAAGACAATGAAAAAAAGAAATAAAAAATCATGTAATGCAATTTTTGTAAACAAAACCCACCAAAACAAACCAACTAAGACAAAATCCACAATTACGTATTTATACTACGTAAGCACAAACACATTCTTGTAATTCCAGTGTCCTGAAGACAAATATGCAAACATCTTTTGGAGATTAATATAATTTCCAAATAGTAGGCAAAGAACCACTTACCTGTTGAATTTAACAGCAAGGCCCAGGTCAGCAATACAACAACTTCCATTTTTCTTAATGAGGATGTTTTTGCTCTTTAGGTCTCGATGGGCAATGGCAGGTTTTCCTTGGGTGCCATAAATTTCTGTGTGGAGATGGCACAGACCACAGGCAGCTGAATAAGCCAACTTGAGGAGGGCTCTGGTGTCTAGTGTAGCACATTTCAGGAAATCATAGAGAGACCCATTTTCATGGTAATCAGTGATCAAATAGAGTTGAGTCCAGGAACCTGTACCTTTAATGTCTGCTGCTATAAAACCTGTTCAATTAATAAATTTAAAAGGTTATCAGAAATGACTACAAAGAATAATAAATGCTCACTCTGGACCAAGAGAATAATTCAAGTATCATGCACAGAAAATAAACAATAAATTTGCCTAACAAAATCTAATGAACCTCTTCCCAAGATTTCTGCCATTTACACATATAACTCTGTACTTCAGCAATAAATTTAAAATACTATTAATGGTCATCATGAAAGTAATAATAATGTGGCTAAGAAAATTCACATATAATAACCGGGGGGAATATTACTATCTACATAAAAACTATAAAGAAGGAATGTGGGAAAAGACTCTCAATTTCAAATGAAAAGTGGACACATTAAAATAAAGTTAAAAATGTTCAACTAGCCAGCCAATTCCATTTACCCATCAATGCCTCCTCATATCTGTCTTTTGGCCTGGCCCCCCTTTTCTCTTCCTCTACCTCTTCAGGAAAAAGTCAGTAAAAGTGCTGGGTTGAATAGCGACCCACCACCTCCCAAATTCATGTCCATCTGATCCCTGTAAAGGTGAACTTATTTGGAAACAGGGTCTTTGTAGATGTAATAAAATTCAGATGAGGTCAGTCATACTAGACCAAGGTGAGTGGTATCCTTGTAAAAGGGAAATTTGGACAGAGACACACAGGGGAAACCATGTGACAGAGCTGAAGACAGGAGTGTTGTCTCCAAGCTGAGGAACATCACAGATGGCTGGCAATCACCAGAAACCCAAAAGAGGCAAGGAGTCGTCATCGCTTTAGAGCCTTTAGAAAGCATGGCCCTGTCGACAACTTGATGTTCAACTTCAAGACTCCAAAACTCAAAGAAAATAAATTTCTTTATTCAGTTTGTGGTAATTATAACAGTCTTAGGATACTAATATAAGTGCCTACTATACTCTTGGTAATGTACTTGTATGCACTGTCTACATTAAAGGGAAGAGAAATAGCAGCTGAAGAAACTGGGAAAGCTGAAAGAATTTACACACCCTGCTGTTAAGATCATGCCCAAATTATTTTGCTAGTGTGAAAATGAGCTTGTGGGGTGAGGAGAGGGAGAGACCTACTAAGCATAGAACATTAAGCAACATCATATGGTAGTGGTGGTTTAGCTTACAAAAGGCAAAAGGTAGGTATATAGTTACCCTAGAAAGTTGCTTAAATTACCTATGGAACACTTGGTTTTTTTGTTACTATATGAGTAAGTACAATAAACTGGCATTACTTTGAAACTCACTGCAATTTCCTCAGTAGGGCAGTAAATAAAGTGGTTGCTTGGCATTTAGGACTCTGTTGTATTTAAACTGTTTATACAACTGGGTTTCCTTTAGCCCAATACACACAACTGAATTCACACTTATGTTTTCAGAGACCATGTGACAGGCTTCCACCCAAACTTTACAAACCTTGTCAGAATATGATATTGAATGAAATCAAATGTGTACCCACCAAGTATGTTTTCATGGCGCATCAGCACAGTTTGGTAGATTTCCGTTTCTCGAAACCAGCTAGCTTCTTCAGTAGTGAAGAACACTTTGACTGCCACTTTCTCACCACGCCATTTACCCATCCACACTTCTCCATATCGACCTTTACCAACTTGTCGAACCATCTGAATCTGTTTGGCAATAGTTCGCTGAACCTTGATTAAAAAAAAAATCATTTTGGATTCTTGATGGAAAAACCTATTAAGACTGAGAAAGTGGTCTAATAGTTCATCCCATCAAAAAGGATAGAATGTATAAGGTTTGTCCAGAAAGATCCAGCCATGTACTATGAAAGAGGCACATTTATTGAAGATACAAGAAACACTGTACATAGGAGAATGACGCCTCAGTCCTCTTCAAAGTAGGCACCTCGGTACCTCACAGTTTTTCCTCAATTGCTATCGGCCGCTCCACGGTATTTTACTAAATCTCACTGATGGTCTGAAATCTCTTCCCTTTCAAAGATGATTTTAGTTTTGGGAAAACCCGTAAGTCGCAGGATGGCAAATCTGGGATGTAGAAGGGCTGAGTCACCTGGGTGATCTGATATTTTACCAAAACACTCTGCATGAGACACAATGTATTAAGTGGGCACATTGTCGTGATGAAGCTGCCAACCCTCAGTGCCCACAGCATGGTCTTCTGAATCATTTGAAGAGGTTCCGTGAAGGGCTGTTCAAGCTTAATATAAAATTTGATGCAGATTTGTTGCTCTACTCACTCAGTCATTTTGAATGCCAGAGTCACACAGTACACATGCTTACTTAACATCTACTGCCGTTATTGACTAGTAAAGTGAAGCTGCCATTGTTCACATATGCCCATCTAGTCCACTCTCCCTGGCTGCCAGGTTACACTGATGTCACACGAATTGTTCTTGTTATGTTAATAGCTGGACTTTTTCCGGACAGACCCCATATAACCAACTCCAATCTTAAAAACTAAAATGTATTTAAATAAGATGAGACAACATATAGTACACTCTGAAATCACAAATTAACAGGTTAGTCAGTATGGCATACTGCTTGCAAAAATGTTGTATATTGGTACACACACCTTTGGGTTGTCTCCTTTATACTCTGGGCTTGGCCACATGACTTGCTTTGGGTAACAGAACAATAGAAAATGTGATGCAGTGAAAACTTGAGAAGTATGCACTAGAGCTTGCCTTATTTTGCTGTTCTGGGGAGTTCTGTGATCAATGAACAGTACCACGGTAATCAGTGGCCATGTGCACAAATTATACCATTTAGCTCTAGCTGAGAAAGTCCAGAAAAATACTGCCCAGTAGACCCACAGAATCATGAGCAATAGTATTTGTTGCTTCAAGCCACTAAGCTTTGGGATGGTTTATTATGCAGTAAAATCTAAACAGTTACAAATCTTCAATTCAGTCTCTATGATCCTACATGGTCTGGCCCCTGCCTATCTCTCCAGCCTCATCATTCACAATAGCCACACCAGCCTCACCCCTTCCATTTCAACGTTTAGAATTTACTCAAGCTCATTCCTTTTTTAGAGTCTTTGTTCATGCACAGTTTCATTTTCTCACAAGTGTTGTTTCTCTTTTGTTCAACATTTTCACAGTGCACATATATTTTTCAACCACTGCAGTTAGCACAATTATAATTTTATTGGGTTGGCCAAAAAGTTCATTAGGCTTTTTCTATAAGATGGCTCTAGTAATACTTAGTTGTTTTTAACTTCATTTGAAACAATTTTGTTAGAATGTATTGTGACAGCTATCATATCAAAATGTGCATTTAAAAATATATCAAAACTGGTGAATTTTTGTACAGCCATTTTAATACTGAAGAGGGAAGAAAAGACATTTTTGGCATATTATGCTTTATTACTTCAAGAAAGGTAAAAATGCAACTGAAACACACACAAAAAAAGATTTGTGCAGTTTATAGACAAGGTGCTGTGACTGACTGAATGTGTCAAAAGTAGTTTGCAGAATTTTATGCTGGCAAGTTCCCTCTTTCCTCTTTAAAGTTAATCCCCACCGTACCACCATTCTCTGGCATCACCGATGTGTTTTTTATCTTTAGGGTTTTACCCTTCTAGAATATCACATAAATGGGAACATACAGTATGTAAAGATTTTTGTATCTCAGTTCTTTCACTTAGCATAAAGTGCTTTCAAATTCATCTATGTTGTTGCATGTATCAGTAGTTTGTTCCTTTTCACTGACAAGTTGTATTTTCCACTATGAATGTACCACTACTTATTTATCTATTTACTAACTGATGAACTTTTGCACTGTTTACAATTTATATCTATTACAAAGAAAGTTATATCTATAAACATTCACATTTCAGGTTTGGACATGTTTGCAGTGTAGCTCTTCCATAAATACTTAGCAGAAGGACTGCTTCACTAAACAGAAAGTGTGTGCTTAAGTTTTCAGCCAACTGTCAAACTATTTCCCAAAATGGTTGTATTATTTTGCATTTCAATCAGTAGTGTATGAATGAAACTGCCAGTTGACATCCTCAGTCTTAGCCATACTAGTGGATGTGTAGTACTATCTTATTGTGTTAGTCTGCATATCTCCAATGAGGCTGAGTATCTTTTCAGATGCTTATTTGCCATTCTTATATCTCCTCTGGGCAAACTGTCTACTCAACTCTTTTGTCCACTTAAAAAATCAACTCTTTGTCTTATTACTGAGTTGTAGAAGTCCTTTATATAGTTTGCAACACAAATTCTTTTTAAAAAAAAGATTTTATTTATTTTTAGAGAGAGGAGAAAGAAAGAGAGCAAGAGAGCAACATCGATGTGTGAGACATAAATCGATTGGCTGCCTCTTGCATGCCCCCAACTGGGGACCTGGCCAGCAACCCAGGCATGTGCCCTGACTGGGGAACTGAACCAGTGACCTATTGGTTTCTAGGCTGACACTCAGTCCACTGAGATATACCAGCCAGGGCTACAATACAAATTCTTTACCAGATCTCCTTTGCTAGTTTGTGACTTGCTTTTTCATTTTTTAAACAGTGTCTTCTAAATAGGAAATTTAAGTAGGCCTTAAATTTTGAGAAAGCCCAATTTATCACTTTTAAAAATGATTCATGCCTTTTGTGACCTAAGAAATTGGTGCTCAACCCAGGGTCACAATGATTTTCTAAAACATTTTCTGTAAAAGGTTTTATACTTTTAACTTTTATATGTAGGCTGATGATGCATTTCAAGATAATTTTGTATATGGAGTAAAGTAAGGGTTGAGATTCTCTTTTTAGCAAATAGATGCCCAATATTTTCTATTCCATGTTTTATAGACTGTTTTTACCCTGTTAAATTACTCAGGCACCCAAATCAATTGATCATTTATGTGCATATCCATTTTCAGACTCTATTATGTTCCACTGATACACATATTTATCCTTGAGCCAGCAGCACATTGATTACTGTAGTTTTACACTATGAAGTCTAAAATCAGGTGGTGAATCCTCTTTGTTCTTCTTTTTCAAAAGTGTTTTGGTACTTTGGATCCTTTGTATTCCCATATAAATGTCAGAATCAACACATCAATTTTCTACAAAACTTTGCTCTGATCTTGATTTGCACTGAATTGAAACTCTAAGCCACTTTTAGGGAAACTAGTATCTTAATACTGAATTCTCTAATTCACAACCAGGATATAATTTCCCACTTATCTAGGGCTGTATTAATTTGTTTTGACAACGTTTTCCAATTTTCAGTGTACAAGTCTTATATAATTTTGGTAAGCTTACTGCAAAATATTTAATTTTTTGATGACATTTCAAATGATACAGCTTTTAAAATTTTAATTCCTAATTGTTTTTTGCCAGTGTACATAAATTCAATGATTTCTGTGCAATGACTTTATGTTCTGCAACCCTGATAAACTCACTTAATTGGATTATCATAGCTTTACAGTATGATTTTTTAGATTTTTTAATGCAATGCTATATCATCTATTTTAAGTATCATTTTATGCATATAATCATGTTGTCTGCGTATAAAGACAATTTTACTTTACCTTTCCAATTCAACTGCAGAAATTATTTAATTCAACAAAATTTTAAATTAGAAATGAATGTATTTAAGCAAATGCAATGAAACAATTAAAATCTATCTGAATATCTGGTGTTTATCAAAGGGTCCTCTTGACTCCTAACCCTGAATATTTCCTTACATATAACTCTCTTATAATTATTTATAACTCCCTTTAAAATTATTTTTATGAAATGTGTTTTGGTGATATGGTGTTATATTGAGGAAAGTATCCCCTCTATGAAGGTATGTGGGAGAAACTTCCTTTTGATTTCAGAATCTGAATACTTATGTTTGTTCCAACAATTAGTTTAACCTAATAGATTTAAGGAATCATATACCCCATTCCACTTCAAAATGGTTTTTAAAAGCAAGACTTGTGAACTAACTCTAGCACTTATGTAATACTTTATGATCACATTTTCTTTCATAACCTTACTTGCCTATTCTATTTTTGTTACATAGTTCTTATTTCTAACTAATTTCATCTTACATTACCACAACCATCTTTCTAAATAAGAAAAAGAATATGTGTAGTAATATTCACTAATCTGTAATAATTATGCTGCTTATCATGAGGACACACTCTATATCAATAGACCACCAATGTTTATATGACATTTTATCTTACCAATAAAGGTAGTCCAGATCCACTACCAGAACTTTGTGATTGGTCAATAAGATCTTTTAATGATTCTCCAACTGGAATAAATGCTTCATCCTGTTCCAAATCACGATTGTAACGACGTCTGCTTGAGATACTCTTGCAATAATGTCTTTTAAAAAAGCAGAAAATAACCTACATCAAAACTCTAAAACTATAAAATTTAAAGGTAAGAAAATCTTGAGGTCATCAACACCATTATCCTTCACATAGAATCATATCAAAATCAGTCTTAGCATAGGATAATATATCCTCAGATAAAATAATGTCCAGAAATGTAGTTTATGAGGTCAAGTTCTATATGTCATGGTAAAATGGAAAATATCCATGGTGTGCTCACAGGAGGAAAAACAAAATTTAAAAAAGCACGCAAAGTGTAATGTAGCTATAAAAAATTTTGAAATTATGTATGTATGTCTAAAAAGATCAGATAGCCCTGGCTGGTGTAGCTCAGTGGATTGAGCACGGGCCTGTGAAGCAGAAAGTATATATAGAAAGTTATAGCAACTAAGGAAAGTGGACTGGAATGCACATGTGTGAACAAGGATGACTTCACTGTACCAGGCAGTGGGGGTGACAGATGCCAATGAGTGAGCATGTGTACTGTGTGGTCGTCATATTCAAAATTACTGAGTGACTAGAGCAACGAATCTGCATCAAATTTTGTACTGAACTAGACAGTCCTCCACGGAAACTCTTTGGATGATTTAGAAAGCTGCAGATGTGGGGCAACTGGTGACTGGAAGCTTCATCACGACAACGTACCCACTCATGCACTATGTCTCGTGCAGAGTTTTTTTGAAAAACATCAAATCACCCAGGTGACTCAGCCCCACTACAGCCCAGATTTGGTGCCCCATGACTTTTCCCAAAGGTATTATCACCCTTGAAAGGGAAGAGACTTCAGACCATTAATGAGATTTAGGAAAATACAATGGGGCAGCTGATGGCAATTGGAGAACCTGCGTGAGGTGCCAAGGTGTCTACTTTGAAGAGGACCAAGGTGTCATTGTCCCATGTACAATATTCATTGTACCTTCAATAAATGTCTGTTTGAATTTCATAGTACATGGCTGTATACTTTCTGAACAGACCTCATACGCTTTCTACTTTACGTAAGTATTTTCATTTGAATTTAAAAGCTTATATTTATGAATTAAAATGAACAATAAATATATTTCTATTTTTTATAAAAAAGATTTTATTTATTTACGTTTAGAGAAAGGGGAAGGGAGAGCGAGAAGGAGAGAAACATCAATGTGTGGCTGCCTCTCATGCATCCCCTACCAGGGACCTGGCCTGCAACCCTGGCATGTGCCCTGACCAGGAATCAAACTGGTGACCCTTTGGTTTGCAGGCTTGCACTCAATCCACTGAGCTACACCAGCCAGAGCAATATATGTCTATTTTTTTTAATAAAGTAAAGAGCAGTATGTGGAAAAGATACCAAACAAGTTCCCTTAATCCACTGATATTTTTGAAGGCTTCTCTTCCTAAAAATTCAAAATGCAAAATATTTCAAGCATGTAAGAATGTAGAAATTAACTGACACCCATGTGTATACCACTTAAATCTAATAAATATTAACATTATGCTATAAGTATTTTATATATTAAAATAAACAGAAATATTTGAAGCTCCAGCCATTTCCCTGATAATTCTATTTCCCTCCTTTACTAACAGCCAAAACACTATCCTAAAAGTGATGTCAATATGTATATTTATTATTTTACAATAACTGTACATATTCATAAACAACGCTGTTTCTTTGCATTCAAATTTACATAAATGGCATGCTGTACTAATATTTTACACCTTGCTTTTTAAGTACAAACTCCCTTTTAAATAAGGAAAAATATGTTTTACATATTTATTCAGGTTGATATATGTAAAAAAACAACAGCTCCTTATTGTTGATTTTGAGTGTGTCAGGTATTGTTCTGTGACTCTCACTTCATCTTTATAAAACTCCTATGAGATAAGTACTATTGTTCCCATTTTACAAATGAACAAGCTGGGATCCAAACCCATTCACTTGAAGTCACAGAACCTAGCAATATTAAGTGAGGATTTACTATTGTTCTTTGTGACTTAGTAACAAAACAACAGTTCCCATCTTATCTCCTCACCTTTTCCTACCCATTTTGTACTTGTGGGAACCAAACATTTTCAAATTTTCTAAGCTGATTTGTTTCATGTTTACCCCATTATTTCTTTTTTCCAAGCTTTTTTTTATTGATTATGCCATTACATTTGTTCTATTCCCCCCTTCCCCTCCCCTCCCCCCTGAACACCCCTCCCCCACCATTCCCTCCCTTTAGTTCATGAACACGTGTCCCAAGTTCTTCAGATTCTGTATTTCCCCTACTATTCTTACCCTCCCCCATCTATTTTCTATCTACTGTCTATGCTACTTATTTTCTGTACCTTCTCCCCCCTTCTCCTTCTCCCACTCCCCTGTTGCTAACCCTCCACGTGATCTTCATTTCTATGGTTCACTCCTGATCTAGATGTCCTCTTAATTTGCTTTTGTTTTAGGTGTGGTTGTTGATAACTGTGAGTTTGCTGTCTTTTCACTGTTCATCTTTTTTATCTTCTTTTTCTTAGGTAAGTCCCTTTAACATTTCATATAATAAGGGCTTGGTGATGATGAACTCCTTGAATTTGATCTTATCTCAGAAGCACTTTATCTGCCCTTCCATTCTAAATGAAAGCTTTGCTGGATAGATCAATCTTGGATGTAGGTCCTTGGCTTTCATGACTTGGAATACCTCTTTCCAGCCCCTTCTTGCCTGTAAGGTCTCTTTTGAGCAATCTGCTGACAGTCTGATGGGAACTCCTTTGTAGGTGACTGTCCCCTTATCTCTTGCTGCTTCTAGGATTCTCTCCTTCATTTTAATCTTGGCTAATGTAATGATGATGTGCCTTGGTGTGTTCCTTCTTGGGTCCAACTTCTTTGGGACTCTCTGAGCTTCCTGGATTTCCTGGAAGTCTATTTCCTTTGCTAGATTGGGGAAATTCTCCTTTATTATTTGTTCAAATAAGGTTTCCACTCGTGACTGTTCCTCTTCCCCTTCTGGTACCCCTATAATTTGGATGTTTGCGCGTTTAAAGATGTCCTGGAGGTTCCTAAGCCTCTCCTCCTTTTTTTGAATTCTTGTTTGTTCATTCTTTTCTGTTTGGTCATTTTTTCCTTCCTTCTAGTCTACTCCCTTGATTTGAGTCCCAGTTTCCTTTCCATTGCTATTGGTTTCCTGTGCAATTCCATTCATTTCAATTAGTTTAGCCTTCATATGTTCCTCTAATTTGTGACTAAAATCAACCAGTTCTCTGAGGATCCTGATCACCAGTGTTTTGAACTGTGCATCTGAAAGTTTGGCTATTTCTTCATCACTTAGATTTATCGGCTCTGGTGCTCTGAGTTGTTCTTGGGCCATGTTTTTATCTGTTTGTGCCTGTTACGTATGAGGAGCAAAGCCTTAGTTGTTTACCAGGGTGGGGCCACCCAGGTCACTGGTTTGTGATGCTGTATGTGGGAGCGGGGACAGAGAGGGAGTAATGGCGGTCCTCTCCGCTCACCCAGTCTGCCTCACCGCTCGCCCCCCTCCTGTTTATCTGAGCGTAAATGTGCAAGCCTGCTGCCCTACACTGAACGGGTTTCAAGGCTCGCCTCTTCACTGGTTTATCTGTATGCAAATGTGGGACCGACCCCAGACAGCCAGCCACGCCTCTTCCCTGTGTCCGCCCATAACCTGGGATCTGCACCCTCGGCTGCTTGTGCAGTGCCCCGGTCGGGGGTCTTTTTGGCCAACCCGCTCCGCTGCTGGCTTCACCCCTCTCACCAGTTTAGCTGAGTGGTTCGCTGTTTTCGGACTCCGTATTGTCGATTTTCTGTGTGGTTTGGTTGCGTTTATTGTTGTTGAAACTTTGTTGTTTTTAGATTTGGTTGTGCGAGGACGCAAGGTGTTTCTACCTATGCATCCATCTTGGTGGAAGTCCCCCATTATTTCTAAATAACATGCTTATGCTGACATTTTTAGTTTTTCAGTTTTAGGCTTTAACTATTGACTTCACACTGTGGAAGATGAAGATTTAACTCATTTAATACCCCCACTGCCCTTTCCTCAAACAGAAGAATTTCTATCCTTATATCCTCTTATAACATAGTTATAAGCACAGTATTTGTTTAAATCAGTATTCAGTGTTTGCATTATGACAACTAAGTGAACTCCACACATGGATCTCATTGTCCTTTTTTTTTTTGCTTTTCTGAACTCCCACCCCATGGGGCACAGGCAAAGATCCATTACTTCTGGGGAAGGAGTAGAAGTAAATCCCTCTCTCTGCCTCTGGGGGAATTGTAGGGAAACATTTTCCTCACCTGGCCAAAGATCCACCGATACTTAGGAAGGCTCAGTATCTTAAGAAAGCCTTTTAAGGTTTAGCAACACAGGAGCCTACCCTAAGGACAAAAAACATTCCCTCCTCTACTCTCCACCTGCCCCCACCATGAGTTACATACAACAGCAGGCTACCTCTGGGGTAAGAGCTAATGTATGGAAAGAGACCCCTGCTGTGGTACAGTCATGAAAGCAATAAAAGGTGAAAGCTGAGGGGGTTAGCAGAAACAGAGAAAAACCCTTCCCAACCTCCAAGAACAACATAATATCATATTATCACCAAATGAGTTTGAAACCTGTGATGCACTAAAGGCCCAGACCCAAACATTAAACGAAGCCCAAGCCTACTGAATTTTTAACCAGCCTGACTTACAAGCCCTCAATACTAACAAAAGTCTAAGAGAAGAGGCACACCCACTTTTAGGTATGTGTGGATATATATATATATATATATCTATTTCAAAAGTCAGTTTGTCATTCTAACAAACTAATATAATAAATGATAAAATATAATTTAAAAACACACATATCTTTAATATATTAAAGTTGTTTGAAACCAAATATTAGGGAAACCCTTAAAAGAAACCATGAAAAAAAATTACATACAGTGGGCCAAAGATAAGAATTATGAAAATCATGTTAGCCAGAAGACAAGAAAGTGGTATCTGTAAAGGGGAATAAAAAAGTCAGCCCAGAATTCTATATCCAGTAC